GGCCTGAGATTAAGCTTAGAGGTGCTATAAAGAGATGAGAGACTTAAGACGCTCACAGCAGGCACTTGAGTTCATTAAGAATCTACTTACAATTTTACAAGCCCCATTACCATCAGCAAAGTCTGAAACAGTCTGTGAGAAGCAGACTCTGCCAACAGTTGCCTGTGGATGCTGGGAATACCGTCGCCATACCCAGAGGTACTCCCTCATAACCTCTCAACAAAAGCGGCAAGGCGGCATGCCATAAGACTGCATAGCTGGCATACCAGTCAGTTGAAACTCAGTTGGATGAATTCATAGCCAGAATGAAGACTAATGACGCTTCAGGACTGAGTTAACCCTGACCCCCCTCAACACCAGTAATGACCCATGAAAAGATGATGGGCTATAAATAACTGTTATTCATGGGTGAAAAATGAATAAACTCAACAAAGGGACATGAGACAGAGGGAGAGGCCCACTGGATGGGTGGGTTTCTGGCACTATATAAGGGAGGTTATAGACCATGGTGCAGCACAGTTTTCTCTCAAGGGATACAGGCCATAGATAGCGGCAGTATTGTTGGTGGCTATTTGGGTTCATGGATTCTACAATACATGTTTTTCCTTTGGAGAGACTTCTTTCTCCGTTTGAAAGGATCTCACAGGAACAGATGATAAGTTGCCTTTTATAAAGATTGTAGTGTTACTTCTTATTGTATTCGTTTTTTTTGCTGTTTTGTATGTTCCACTATTGAGCTCTGTGTATGTTTACAAAGGCCCATCTAGGGACAAGTGTTGCAAACTAGCTTCCTTGATAATGGTGTGGTAAGTGGTAGTGGTTGACAATATGAGCATGTCCTTCTAAAAATAAAAAGTAAGTAAATATATAGGGCTCAAAAGATAGACAAGCTGAGGACATGAAGTGCAATATGTTGCTTATGTTATAGGCCAAGTGGGTCCAGAACAAATTGAGGAAATGTGTATTTAAGCATCAATTACAAGTGATGCCCAAGCCTGAATTACAAGCATGCGCTCTGCCTGTCAAGCAACTGTAAATAATAAAGCAGCTGTGATGTCATGAGACCTATTATGTCTCTGTCTGAGTAACTACATGCAGCTGACAGAATTATCAAAGTGCCACACTGCTGACAACACAAAAGCTGTCTTGAATGTCAAGTAGTCATGGTCGTTTTGCAGCCACAAGCCTTAATACTCACTGTAGGAGTCAGATCCGTATTGTACTCATTGTACTCATTTTGAGGGCTCTTGATGTAATACGCCATTCTGAAGCCAATAACTGATCCACTCTGCCAAGTAATTATTACACCAACAAAGCCTTTAATGCTTGCCACAACTGCTCAGTGAGCCATAACTGCAACCCAAATGTACTGGTATATAAACCTGAGCAACAAGTGAATGCACTTGACAATTGTTCAAGGAGACAGCTTCATTGATTGCATCATTTTCAAAGTCTCTCTCTGACGGGTAGGATTCAGTAACTAGGGCGTGAAAAAACCGTCACAGATACAAGAATAGAGCCAAGAAGACTACAACTTGTGCCAGTTTCTGGCCTCAGGCGGACATCCTGCAGAAATCCCCATGAGTTTTTCTTGTATGAGACAAAAGCACTGGGGCACTTTCATCTAGATCAGGAGTGGGGAACCTCCGGCCTCCGGGCCGTATACGGACCGCGAGACCATTTGGTACGGCCCTCGAGGTAATTTAGAAACACAAGCAAAAACTGTTTGCTGTGGTTTTGGTGGTCATGCCACATGTGAATGCATGCGCGAGTCATGGTAAGATATCTGGATTAAGAGGTTTCTTTTTCTTTGCACAGCATGAAAGAAAGGTGAAATAGTATTTTTAAGCAGAGGTCAATCATTTGTACGGCCCTCGGAGGATGTTGAAAAAATTGAAATGACCCTTGAGAGGAAAAAGGTTCCCCACCCCTGATCTAGATCAATACTTAACACAGAGGTCAGCTCAGCCCTCAGGGTAGATTACTTATTTAAAAGGGAACTTGTGGGGTCATGTTTTTACCACAAAACGTTGAATGCAGAATTGGCTTTGTGTTAACATGATGAAGAGTTAGACAACTGGCAACGAAAAAGGATATAATTCAACTTGTCAACTTTTCAAATAGGGACAATTATTTGGTGTAGTCTTACATTTCACATTGTGTTTTAACTGCATTTCAGTGACACACAAATACATTAGAGCAAAAAGGACAATTCTACAAGAAGCAATCTTTTTTTTAACATACATGTCTTATAAAGGCTCATAAAGAAAGAGCAATCGGGAAATATCCACAAACCATAACAACGGATCAACTTAGACACCCACTAAACACTAATGCCATCCAGGTAATTTTGACACTTTAAGGGGAAAATCCAGATCCGAGAGCTCTTATTTCTGAACAGTCTGGACTTGCCAGAGAGAAGTCAAGACAAGAGTGGAAGAAGCAGAGCCATTACTCACAGGAGCACAGAGGGGGGTCACGCCATAAAGCCTGACATCCTCTTACTGGATAAACAGGTTTTTATTGCTGTCGTTTTACCCACACACGCACACACAGGTACACAAACAAGCTCTCTGAATGGCTTCTTAAATAGCAGTTTAAAACTACTAGCTTAATTAAGCTTGTGTCAGATGGAATTAGGTTTAGAAAGGAGGAATCATGCAACATCGGTGCACCCATTTACGTAACACCTCTGAGAGCTTGAGTATCCAGTGTATTTAAAGGTTTCCTATAAACAACAAGAGATAGTGGTCAGTTTTAAAATAATTTTTAGACGTGAAGCTGTAAGTGCATCAGCAATTTTAAACAAGTGCATATCTTCCAAATAGTCAAACGTGCTGTTTTTGTTGCCATACACCATATATGGGGTTTTTACAATCTGATATACACTCCACAGATCCATAGATTCATAATCAGAACATCAGATTTAAATTTGGCCCATTCACAAAAAAGCTAATATCTGAAATGAAAATAGTGTGCTGCTTCAAACAGCCCGTCTGCTGCTTTCAGTTCAAGGATAAAAGACAAAAAGTCAGCGCTTGTAAAACAAACTGCTGTTTCTAGAGGTCAGAATCAGCACAATGTTTGAAACTCAGCACAATGCTGAAAACAGCAAAATCTGATATTTAGATTTCCACAGTCTTCATGAATAAACAGAATATGGATGTAACATTATACTTGAAGGTGAAAGTGTCCACTTTTTGATGGTCTGTCAAAATGTTCAGGAAGTGCTTACAGCAATATAAAAGGTGCATTCTTTAAACTACATAAATTACCAGCTACTTGTAGATTCCTGTTTCATGTGTACATATGGAAATGCGCTTTTGTTTGCGTGCGTGTGTTTGAGATTCTGGGCAGGCTGGCAGACAATAAGTGGAAGTGTTCCCTGTCCACTGCAGTGTTTAATTGGTCAAACAGCCAAAAGTGAGCAGGGTCTTGTCGTCCCAACAAAAGGCCTTGTGTTCCCTGAGCCTCAGCGTGGGGAGGTCACTGTGAAACAACAACATGCTACTCCACATCTCTGCAACAACAATTGAGCAGCTTCAACTGCAAGGTTGCAGGATTTTATTCTCAACCCAACCTCACAAGCCAGCAATTACTGCTGGGCTACTATTTTAAAAGCGTCAAATCTACACACGTATTTGCTGACTTCTACAGAAAAGCACATTCCTCTCAAAGCAGTGGTGAAAACTTTCCCAAAAGCAGATTAATTATTAACCAAGATTACAAATCAACCAGCAGTAGCAGCAAAAGCAGAAGTTTGAATTAAACGGTGTTTGATCCCTGAGTGAAGCACCTGTCTGTCTGAACAGGTGTATGTCTGGCTCAGCCCTCCACAGACACACGTTACAAATTAAGTGGTAGTAATGCTGACTACTTATCTCGTGTTGCACAATCTGAATGTCTGTTTGTAATATTCTTATTGGTTATAAACACTGTTGTTACAATAAAAAAGGTGAAACACACAATTTGTCTCTCACAATTTAACTATAACTTTTCCACAGTGAAATCTGGAGGCAACTGTCCAATAGATCACACAATATCACATCAACAGCGCAGAAACACACACATAACACACCGAGCTGCTCATGTGGGAAATTCTATTTTTACCATGAGTCAGGGCGAGGCTCTACCATACAGCACACAAAGTAGGGAAACTATAACAAGGGAGGGAGGGAGGAGGTGGAGGGCTGTCAGGGAACAAAGCGGAAGTGTCCTTCCTCCTGATGACCTGCAACACAAAGTGTTCTCTGTGCACATACAGTGCGATGCAGCTGCAATAAACTGGAGGAACAGAGTAACATTACTCCATTTATCGCTGAGGGAATTAATATGTAGGCAGAAAATACAGTATAAATCACCCTGTATTTGCAGTCTATGTGCCTTATAGAGTCATTCTGTTGCTCTCTGTTTTCCCTGTTGTTGTCTACACTATAAAGAGGAGATGTATTACATTTCTGTCTAACCTGGAAGAGGGATATCATGTCTCTCGCTCTTCCTGATGTTTCTTATGTTTTCCATATTAAAAGGGTATTTTTGTCTTACCTTAACTGAGGGTTTGTAGAAGGGGGAGTTGTATATTGGTCATATTGTAAAGCCCATTGAGGGACATTTGTATGTCATGATTTTGGGCTTTAAAAAGGGAACTGATTTGACTTGACTCTTGCTGGCTTATTGTTGAGGGGACAGACATATTTCAACTTGTAATCAACACTACTGTAAAATGGCACAATAGAGATCCAGTACAGTAATAAAGGTCTTCTTGGATGAGCTTGTGGGAAAAGGAACATGGAGCATGATGGATGAGTAGAGGTGCAATAGAGGGCACTTTCTTCTTGCATGTGTAGAGGTCACCTAAATCCCAGAGCTGACATACATATTTTAAAATAATATTGATCAAACACATCATGGAAGGATAACATAAGAGGGGATACTATTCCCATTTTGCTCAGATTAGTGTTTATGGGTATTTCTATCCCAGTGCCACTGAAGCCACTCACCTCCTCCAGAGCAGACACTGTATTCCTGCAGTGGGACATCCTGGTGGTGAAGTTAGAGGCAGTCGGTGATTTATAATCTTCATTTGTCTCTGCCACAAACTCGGAAACTGTGATTTGGTCCGGCATAATTAATCCTTTGGCTGGTGATAAGAATAAAAAATAACTTATTTTTTTTGTAATCCAAGTTCTCTTCTGTACGGTTTTAGGACAGAAAAGTTCACAGCAGCAGCAGTAGTAGTGTCTCTGAAGGTCCCCTGGCAAAGTTAACCATCTCTGGGTGTGTTTATGTCATTCCCTTGTTAGTTCCCAACACAATCCAGAGCAGCGGTGTTACACGCTGGATCGAGGAGTTGCACGGTGCCGCTCACACACGGTGCCGAGCTACAAGGTGATGGTGGGTTATATTCCTGATGGATTTCAGCCCACTACTCTCTTTCCATTCAGATTCACGGATCGTACTCTGGTCACAGCAGAGAGTAAAGCTGCCTCGGTGGAGTCTGTTATCCTCTCTCGGTGTTCCCAAACCTCCGGTAGCCCGTGCTGAACAACTTCTTCCTCCTTGCCCGGGGAAACAACAACCAGGCGTTTCAATGGGAGCGCAAGAAATTGACAAAGGTAGAGGAGGGGATTCAATGGACGCGTAACCGCCAATGAGGAACACCAGTTGGTAATTGGCAGCCAATCAGAATCCATGGAAGGCGTGGCCTCATGCTGCCTTAAAGTGCTCCTCGTAAACTTTAACAAGTAAGTTAAATTGTATTGTGCTCAGCTTCTCACATAATATTTTGTGTAAATATTGTCTTTATTTTTAATATGTTACAATTGTCTTGCAATAGTTTTTAAAAATAGCTTTTATAATAGTACTATTTTTTTATTGTATTTTCTATATTCTTCTTTCTGTGTCTTTGTATGCACCAAATATACCAAAGCAAATCTTGTATGTGTAAACCTACTTGGTTTATGATTCTGATTCTGATTAAAAAAATCTAAATAATATTTATAAATATTTGTTTTGGTTATTCTTTAATTATAAATGAAAATCACACTCATAACAGTGCATTTTTATAAATATAATTATACAAAAAAAAATAAAAACCAAAACATTTTAAAAAAGTGATTAAGTTCCAAACACTGCTTTTTTATATTTGGTACATCATTAACTGAAAGGCTAATGTGCATCATTATTTAAGCGACCAACAATGGTGTGGCAGACAGCACTTTGATATAAATGTTACATGTTTTTACAATAAAGAGCAGATTGTGTTTCATAAAATAATTACAATACTTGTTTGTGAACCCTGTAATTAAGTTAAGAACCAGTTTAGTAAGCTTTCAGTCCTAACCTGGTCATGTTAATGCTTTTACAGTACTGACCAACTGTGTGTAAACTGATGTTTAATAGTATCTTACATTTTCCTGACTTCCCTTCTTTCTCATTTGTTTCTTGTGTCAATGTAAGTATAGACAATAATGCTAGTTCTGATTACCAATGTGGAAAACACTTCTAAACCTTTGGTGCAATAATGGTCATTAGGGATTTTAGCAACTGAGATTATGATTAATGAAGCTTGTTAGCAGCAGTAGTACTTATTCTTCTAGTAAAAAGTGTATGCACACTCTTGGAAAGAAACATGAACCTGTACTTATAGTTGCAGTAGGTTACTGTTGCTACTTCCCAACTTCAGCAACCTTCCTGTTAATTAACTCAGATGTGACACAAATTTAAAAAAAAATCTCCTCATTTAGGACCTTGATTGATCCATTGCAGTACAGGCTTTTGTTGCAAAAGTATTTCCAACGGCACTTGAAAGCAGCATCTTGATGTCAGCACCACCAGTAGTTTTTTTAAGGTCTCTCAGGTGGGGTAGGTAAGTTTGAGAAACCGGCTCGAGATACACTTTTTGTTATATTCCATGGAATGCTCTTAACATCCCGATAGCAATGAATATCTTAAGTGCTTTGACAAAAAATCCATAACAAAATGTCATCTGTGGAAGCCGTAGTACTGTAAAAAGCACGACCAATCATTTTAGCCGGCCCGGCTAAAATAACTGGATGGCCTACCTGCCTGTCAGCCTTCCATCTGGGCACAAACTTATCTCGTGCCCTCATTGGTCATGTGCGCGTTCGTGTGTGTTGGAGGAGGGGCTCTGTAAGGAAGTGGGAGATTTTTTCCGGCTGTGTATTTTCAAATTCTAGCACACTCGAGCTGGTTTCTCCAAAATTACCTACCCCACCTTTAAGGTGGAGATAGGAGAAGCAGCATTATGTGAGAATGATGCAGTGTGTGTTTCTGTGTAAATGTCTGTAATGTATGTTTTCTTTCTGATATGTTAAGTGTGAAAGGCACATTGATACACTCAGTGAAAAACAACTGTTCAAAGAGTTCAGTATCTCATATCCTGGATTAATTATTCACTCAATGGACATATCCATTGAGCATCTATCAATGCAGTGACCGTTCAACACAAGCTACCTCACCATGATACAGGAACCACAGCACAGTTTTAACATGTTGTCAGTGGTTTATGTATTTATTTGAACAAGGACCATGCATACAAATACATTAATCTCAGAAAAGAAAATAGATGATTTATATATTTAATAGTTCTGTGTTTACATTTATAAGGATAACCGATAGCAGTTCTATCATTGTTGTATCTGTACTGTATGTGATCAGGAGTTCACATGATAGCAGTCACTGCATAATGTGAGAATATCTTAAATTGTTTTATGTTGGACACACCCAAGAATAAATATCTTTCTTTAAGAAAGACTTGTATTTCCCCAAATCCTGTTGGAAAAACCAGAGGAGGAAAACAATCTGAAACTTGTGAAGACTATATCCCATGAGTTTTAATCAAGAAGAGCCTCTGCTCCCTGCGCGCCTGCGTCTTTCCTGGGCCATAGATGAAAAATCTGCTGATGCTTCCCAGCTCAATCAACGCCGGTTGGACAACTACCGGTATAAATAGCATCCCAGTGGTCGAGGCAAAACCCTGGGCAGCCTTTAAATCACAAACTGGGCTGTGTTCACACATTCTTTTAGCTCTGCAGCGTCTCCTGGCAAGCTGCTAAATGAACAGCCTGAGACCCAGGCTGACCCTGGCTAGCTACTCAGGCCTCTACTCCCTTATGAAATGAATACACACACTCCCAGCGAACATCTGCTATCCAGAGACAGAGCAGCTCAGTCAGTGAGGTCAGCAGGATCAAACAACACCAGCCTTCCTCTTCACCGCTGAATTATCTGTACACTTTTTTAAGTAACATCTGCCTTTCTAAACGCATGTTTTATCCTTTAAATCAAGACCAAACCAGGCCAAAAAAGATCTGTGCTGCATTTCCCTCTTTCTGTTGCTGGAGAACAGCACAGGAAACCAAGGTGAATAGGGTCATCCAGCATGTACAGGTTGGAAACATCACATGAAAAGGACATTGTTTAATATTTTATGGGACCTGGAAAAAACTCAAACAGGCATATCAGTGAGGCATCATATAAATGCAGCTCAAGGAAACACTGATCAAATACACTGCGCCATGTAACATTTGCATAAATAATCCATACCATACTTTTATTGCATCATATAATCCTCAGTGCCCAAAAAAGATACAAAGGCAGAAACTGTCAGCTGCCTTGTTAAAACAGAACACCAACACCACCCATCATTTATAAAGACCTACTTTGCATGCAAACAACTCAAAGAGTAGTGTAACAAGTCAGAGCGGTAGTTGTTGGATGCACTGTGACTGAAAAGTGATTTAGTGAGACACCAAACTGATGTGCATTCACTGCTTTGGTGCACAGTAGACTATTCCCACGAAAACCGAACTGATAGTAATGTAAAAGTGAAACACAATGCAACCAGGCAGCTGCGGACAGAACAATAGCAGAAGCAGATGTCATACTGTATACAGAGTGGAAAAAGATGCTTGTAATTTGTATTGTTAACTTCCCCAGAACCCCGGGTGTGTCAGTACACAAGCATCTGATAAACTGTTTTGGTATTTGAATTTTAGAAGGAACAGACAGCATGTCATGGCAATAGAGGGGACTGGGGTTTGAGTGGGAGTCACTTTTTCCTAATTGCACTGCCATGACATCATTATTTTGAACAGCTTCATATGTTCCAAAAAGGGGGAATTAATGACTTTATTGTTTAGAATAAATAGAAACTAATGCTTACCATCCTTAAACTGTAGATACAATTGCATACCCTGGACCAAGCTCAATACTCAATAATTCTCACATGGGGAACTTATCTTAGCTTCTCATAGATCAAAGACCACATCCGTAACCAAATACTACATACAGATGAGGGTTTGTTACACAAATCAGTTGGCAGCACATAGGCTTGAACTGATCAAGTGGTGCCTGGTGAACCTGAGCGGACGCTGCACGCTGTGGGACTCCTAATGGGAGAGGGATGAGGAGAAGGGCAAAGGAACAATAGGGGAGGGAGAGGAGCGCTGGGGCAAGAGCAGTGAACTGTAACAGGCTTGTTTCTTTACAAACAGTATTAGAGGAAGCTCAATAAGGAATAGAGGCAGAACTACTAAGACCTTTATTTAAAAGGATGCTCGATACATGCAATACCTTAATAAGATTAATAAGAATAATCCAAAAACATTTAGCAGCATTTGAAACAAAACTCAACGTTTGTTGATGTATAAATGTGCTGTGTCTACACAATTGGATGGGAAACTAGATCTGATCTGTTGTTTCTGATTATAGCTGTAGATGTTATACATTTCATCATCACTAAATGTTTGGTCATTCTGTTGTATTCATTCCTTCATGATGATGCCAACCACATTTGTGAAAGCCAAAATTGGAAGAACAATTCATATTTCTCCACACACTGCCAACATGAAATACCCAAATGCTGGCACCAATCACAGGCCAACTGAAGTAAGTACGTTTTTTTGGATAAGAGTACTTTGTGGACTCAAATAGAGTTTATTTATTGACGTGTAGGCATATCACATCACAGCTCTTAGGTTAAACAGTCTGCCCAGCATATTTTTGTACGACCAGTTTACTGACTAGCTTACTATGTTGGTACACAAAAATGCCCTTACTTTTTGGGTAAAAAACTTGTTCATAACCACTGTGGCATCTGCAAAATGAAAAACAAAACAGTAGATTGAGTCAATTACTCACAGACCCATAGCCAAAGACATTATTTTCAAGCCAGTGAAAATGTCAAAAAGGGTCAAAGGTCAGTGGTGGATGCAATTACACAACTTTCAATCAACAATGGAAATTCAATTAGCTACTGGAGATTAAAATATCTCCTTTGCTATGAGGCTGGCTGTAATATATGACCTATACACTGCAATGTATGATTGATTGTGTTCATTTTTCTTCACTGAAAAGCAAACAAATAAGGTCATTTGGTTATTAAATCCAGCATAAAGCCAACAAAGCTATCGGCAAAGAATCACATTTTTTACCCTCCACCTCCAGCTCTTGTACATTTGAAAAAGCATGAGGTTTTCCTTTATATTAATAATATCCAAATCTGAGCACTACCTAGCCAGCTGAATGCTTTAGCTCGTGACTTTCATTCAACCTTGCCAC